TGTCAATAATTGAAATCAGAATGTTGCTATATTTAATGCTAATACAGAAACAGTGATTCAAAAGTCCACGATTCTTGAGAAGTCAGGCAAATGAATCTCTGGTGCCATTTCCCTAACATTGCCAAGTATGTGGAAATCATTTTTGATTATCTACTAGCTATACCGTTTCCAATTGCCCCTTTAACAGAAGGAAGTTTTAGATTTTCTTTCCTACATCTTCCAACCATCACGAGCCACACTACTGTTAAATATTAGTAAAAGAAGAATGCCCCTTTCTGTCATATTATGGAGATTCCTTGGCTTACTACCTTAATAATTAGGGATGAGCAGCCTCCCATATTTATGGCCTGACAATAACCCAGGCATACCAAATTATTTGGCCTGAATCCCATGTATGTCTGGAAATAATACACGAAAGGCCTGGATAATTTCTGGGTCACTCCTTCGTGAACTGAAATATGCTAGACTTGGCACAGTGCTGTGGGGTGGTTGAGAATGTTGTCAACTCATGTTGGCTTACTAGACCTCAGCCTGGCTTAGCAAGGCCTAGCAAAGGGGTGCTAGTGATGGTGGGAAAGGTCCAGAGTCATTATGAATAGAGGAGCAGCCATTTGGAGGTGAAATTGAAGGTTTCTCCTTAAGCAGAACCTCTGTAGGAATAGTGAGAAATGTGTAGGGAATCTGTGGGCAGTCAGGAATTATGATACAGTTCTATGTGCAAGAAGAACTTTCCTTTGTCTTTCAAAATATATCAGAGAGCAAAACAAATGGATAGAGATTCCTGCAACAAAAGAGACATAAGAACAGTGCTTTTTTGGGGGGGGAGGGTACGTAGAGGTACGCATACCTCTAAACATTTTGTGAATCTTTGTACTTTTGTCCATTTTCTTATTTATTTTTCCCTATTTGAACTATAAAATGGTTATTTTCTTGAGTCAAAATGAGAGTACCCAATAATAATAATAATAATAATAATAATAATAATAATAATATTTATAACCTGCCCATCTGGGCGGCTCCCAGCAGGACATTTTTTTAAAAAAAGAAAAAAAGCACTGCATAAGAGGAAGAAGTCAAGAGGACCAACTCACCCCAAAACAAAACAGAAAACAAGAGTTAAGGAAACCAAATATGCTTTGCTTTACAGCAGCAATGGGGAGCTTGCAGCCTTCCAGCTCTCATTGTCTTTGACTATTGGTGCCAGATTGGGTTTGATGGCAGCCGTCCATTAAATCTGGAGGTACACAAGTTCCCTATCCCTTAAAGCAATGTCTGGGGGTCCTTTCCTTTCATGGCTTTACAAGGTTGACTTTGGCATGTTTTATTTTAGCTGGAGGGTGTGTTTTTTGTTGTTGTTTGGATGAGTTTAACATAGCAGTGAGAAGAAAGCAGCTAAAATAAAATTTGTGATGACTTTTTTGGGTGGCAGGGGCAGTGAAATGGACCCATTGAATAAGGGGAAATTTTGCTGATTTCTCAAGGTGTGCATGAAACAACACCAATTATCACAGGAACTTATTTGAGCTGTTTCATTGAAATTACACCTAAAGTGAAATTTGAAGAGAATTTGGAGGTGAACTTTAGAACGGTTTCAAGGAAAACGGGGTTTTCTTTATATTCTGAGGTTCTCATCAATATCACCTAAAGTGAAATTTCAAGTGACTGTGAAGATCCTGCCTCAAATGTCAGAGCAATTGATAAGGAAGCTAAAAGGGGCAGGGCAAGAAATAAGTCAACCTTCTCAAGTGGATTTTGCATTTCCTAACAGAAATTAGGAAATTTGGGCAGACAATCCAGCAATTATTTTTGATAGAAACACAACGTAGTTGCATAACATCTAATTAGTAGACGTGTGCCTTTCAAACATTTCCTTTATTAAATGTACAACATAGTTATAGTTACATTTGGAAAACATCATATCAGACTCCTATAGATTTGTCCCTAAAAGAATGTAGGGAAAGAAACAGGTCATGACTCTTTGAAGCAGCGCATATCATTGCACCTTTGGTTAAATCTGTCATTTCACCTGCCCTGTTGGCAGGGCAAACAAAGTCAAAATAAGAAAAATTGCTCTTCATACAGAAGATTAGATGGAATTGCAAAACCTTTTTTCTTCAGCAGTTCTTATGATATAATATGTCTATCTATTGGATACCAACATTTTGCCATATAGTGTCTGGGACTATGGAAATAATATTTGTTTTTTTAAAATCCTACTGTTCAAATGTGGGTAAATAAATAAAATGTCCACTCAGGCATATCTATGGACTCCTTGAAATAAGAGATTTAGTGTCAAGGACCATAAATTCTTTTGCTTCCCCCTATATTTGGTTGTCATCTGTTTCTGTCTTCTGTAATTTATATCCATCTTTATCAACAGCTATGCGTGAAAGACGTTGACAACCAAAATCCAGTGCTGGTAGCAGAATAAAATGCATGGAAGTAATTATCAATAAGATAACCAGTGTAAAATGGAATGTTGTTCAAGTATTAGATTTAATTGATGAGTTTTCATTATCTCATGATCCAATTGGACCTATAAAAACAGTATTTACATAATTTCAAGGCCAATGGCTGTATGTGATCCCAGTCCCAAAGCATGTATATAGGAGTCTTAAATTTCCCTTCCCCAGTTTCAATCAGAAATATCTAACGTAAATAATTTAGAGATGCATACATGTTTTTTTAAAATGTTGCTGATTTTACCTTCGTATAATTGATTATTATTTTACATTTTGCACACCACTTAACTGGTTTCTCTCACTTTATAATTTTTCCAGTCTTAGGTTCAGTTTACTCCATTTCTAGGTCTATTGCATATATTTGGCCCCTAAAAGCACTTATTCAGAAACTGTTTTCATTCCAAAAATAAAAGCTCATTGCAGATTGATTCCTCATTACATTACCCTGCTGTGTGAAAACAGTTATAGGTAGTCCCCGCAATTTGTGTATGAGAGTGTTTGCATCCATACCTGCCCAATTATGTTGTGTGTGGGCATATACCACTATTATAATCTCCAATTCCTTCTTCACTCACCCGGGGTATGTGTGGGGAGGAAACCTCATGCATAGCCTAATTGAGGAAAGGGTTTTCAAATGCATATCCACCCTTCTGGACAGCAGAATCTGGAATCAATCTAAATTAAAAGCATGTTGAAGATGAGCACGAATGATTCCAAATTCAGAAAAACTACATTTTTGTGTGCTACAGATAGCTTAGTGTGTCGTCAGCCTTATTCCAGTACGCATTTAATCTGGCAGGATCCTGATGTTCCCCATCTTTCCACTTTTTAAAAAACAAGAACCCTGCTACCCTATTAGTTTTCAAATAGTTTTCTTTTTAGATTGCAGTGCTATAACACACTTACCTGGGAGTAAGCCCCTTTGAACACAATGGGGATTATTTCTGAGTAGATATACGCAGGATTGCACTTTCTGTTTTAGAGCTTTGACTGGTGTGTGTGTGTTTTAATTTGCATTGCTAGCCTTTTTTCATGTTCTTGTTTTTAAACAGAAAGGTAGGATGGGAATACCACGTTTGTTGGATGACTAACAAAGCCCAACAAGTGGAATCTTCTGTAACTGTCTGCATACAAGAGGAATGGAAAGGGGCAGTTAGATAAAAAGAAAGGAGAAAAAGAAAGATGTGCTACGAAAAGGAGATGAATCAAAGAAGCAAATGAAGCAATGGCATCAGGATAGAAAGCTAGGGAAGGGACTCTCCCCCTATAACCAAACAGAACATGACTTCATCTCCAAGTATCAAATATTAGATGCTCACTTGTTCTCAGATTACAAATATCACTGAAGACCAGATCAGATCTTCAGTGTGGACTGTTATTTGCAACATTCATTGAGAAGGGACTTTTTGTAAGATCTGCACTGTAAGATCTGTTAAAACCTTATTCACGCATAGAGTAAAACAGCCATTGCACAGACCTTATTTATTCATAAGCCTATGGCCCAAATTTGTTCCGCATCCTGGTGTAACCCCAATGTCAGTGTAATCTTGCATATGTAGACATCCCACTCTTTCTGAAATTCTGATTATTCAAAGGAGGATGCTGTTGTTGTTTTAACATTATAAGAACAGCTAGAACAATTACACAGCAGCTGAATTTATTCAGACAAGCTACTCTCTCCCACCTCTTCCCCCTCCCATTGAAATCAAATTTACATAGTGCTTTCTTCATTCTTGAAATTTGATAATAACCTTTAAGCATCACCCTGCCACAATGAACACCCACTTCTAAATGTGTGTTGTTCCTCGGTGAAGGAACCGAAGAGAGGCATACTCTGGTCAAAGAGTGAAGGCAATAGTCGAGACCTTCAGCTCCAGTCACCAAATGCGGCCCCCAAGCCTCTCTCTCTGGCCCTCAGGACTCTCTCGTCTCACGCTCTCCCCCACCCACTCTCTCCATGAAGCTTTTCACTCTCCTTGAATGTTTTTTGCCTGGGTGGAATGGGTCTTTTTCTTTTTTAAGCATTTCAAAGAAAATTAGAACATGTAGGATAGAACAAGCAACAAGAACCCCAAAGAAAAATAAAATATGGTGGCCCTTGCTGGAATATGTCCTAGAACTCTGGTAGCGCCTCTTGCTTGCTGAATGGAGGATCAAGAGGGGTGTCTGAGGGTGGATCTAGACACAGGGGGAAATGCTATAAATAAGTCAGAAATTAGATTGATATAGCAAAAGAAAAATAAATCTGTATGGAAAATCTCATTTTAAAATTTCCTGCTCTCTGGCGCCATCTGGTGTTGCATGTTTATAGCATATTCAAATAGCTGTTTCTGCATTAAAGTAGCTGAGTCCTGAGTGTGTGTGTGTAGAAACCAAGCCTGCTGTGCAAAGGTAACATTGACATTAATTGCTCTGCCCACATTTGCCTCTGGGCCTTGCCCACCACCGTCAATTGGCCCTCAGAAGGATGATATTGCGTGTCGAGGTCCCCAGGGCCACCCCAATAACTCACACATCACACAGAATTTTTGTTTAAGATTTTTGGCATAATTTTGGCCACGACTTTATTGAAATACAAATTTGTGAGTGGTTGCTTAGGCATTGGTTGCGACTATCTGCCCCCACCATGGGGGATAGACTGACATTCCGCACAATGCGAAAGTCAGAATAGGGGAATACACTTGGGGGTTACGTGGAGCAGGGAACCTGCCCTCACCCCAAATGCAACCAGGAGCTCATTGCTATGGCCCGAGCCCTCTTGACAGAGTGGACAAGCAATAGTTAGCCCCCAATTCCTTTAACGGAATCCCTTGCAGCAGCAGCATTAGAGGGGCAGGCACTCAACCTACCAAGGGCAGGCACTCAACCACTTCCCCTCAACCAACCAAACCATAAACCAATGCCTAACCGCCACCGAGCACTCAAGCTCGCCGCCAACCACTCACAACTGCAGCCCCACCTTCAAACCCACACAACAGAATTTAACCATGTGTCATTTCCCAATGGGGAAAGATGCACACCATCGTCCCTGAAAAGGACGGCCGCCTTGAAGGTGATATCGGGGTGCGCAATCACAGAACCACCATGAGCAATGACTGCTTTCATTGCCACCTTATTAACACGCTTTCTGGCTCCATCAGTGGCGGCTGGACAGCGACTGCCACGCCAGGTGCAGCAACTGGGACCAAAAAACTTTCACACCCGGCAAAAACTCTGCCAATTCAGCCAGGTCCTTTTGAACTGTAAAATGTAAAGAACAACAGTCTGTGGCAAGCAGATCATTTCCCCCTAACTGCAGCACGATAGCTGTAGGGGGCCCCTCCAACCTCACATGCTTCCGAACAAGGGGAAGCAATTCGGCCCACAGCATTCTACGCCTGGGTAGCCAAGACACTTGCGCATGTTGAGGAAAGCCAAGACTGAGTCCAAGTCCAGACTCCCTTGCTCTGATACCGGCCCAGTAGACAATGCTGTGGCCCACAATGCGAACAGCAGCCACACCTAAGAGAAGACAAGCAAATATAAGTATGGGTGAACAACGATGTCTATGCACATATCCACAAAATGCATTGGACTTCCAACGGCCCATGTTCTTAATTCTTTCTACAGACAGTCCCCAATGAGCTGCTGTAGTGGCAGCACCACTGCGGAAGAATGAGGAGCGTAACGTGCTGCTTTCAAACCACAAGCTGCAATCGCTTACCGCATCACCTTAGCAAATTGATGCGTAGTCAACGGGGCACCATCCTCATGAATAAGGAATGGTCCCTCCCCCCGTGGCCTGAGATCCAAATACCTGGAGGTATCCTTAACCGGGCAAGGACCCTTATTTCCAGTGGCAGGCACCCTAAGAGTGGCACCCCTGCCTAACTGGTCTGTCTTTGAATTCCGGATAAACAGGACCACCTCCAAAGGGGATAGAGTTACGTCCTGCAAAAGCAGTCCCCTTGACTCTCTGCCGCAGGTGAACTCCAATACCACCTCACCTACCCTCGGGGCGCCAAAAAAGGATAAGGAAAAGGCGGCTGAAAAACGCCATGCTTCATATTTGAACCAGCAAATGCTCCTCAACTTTGAGCGCATGCTGGTCAGCAAATCAAAAGTTATAGGCTTCCTTACCACAGGGGATAGAGTGCCCAGGCTACCCCAGCCTTCCACAGCCTTGCGCACCACAAATTTGGCGCAAGGGTCTTTATTAAAAAAGGCTGTGCAGAAAAAGGAAATGGCCGCCGGTTGGATCCTGAGCGTCCTGGCCACTCAGCCCAATTGGAAGAGGTGCGCCAACCTATGAAGTTGGAGCCTATTCCAACCGTTCAAGGCCCTGTGCATGACAAACTTTTTTCAAGGGTCTCTGAAAAATTAAGCTTCACTATAGCAGACATTGCAGCGGACTGAATTCTGATAGTGTTTACAGCACATCCAATCTGCAGCAAGTGTGCCAAATCCTGCAGGATCTGCTCAGCGGATGGGGGCAAGTTCCTCTGAATGGCCAAGGGCTGTCAACTAAACCCTAAGAAATCAGTCCAGGCCTCCTCATAAGAGCTAAAAGCAGAAGGGGAATGGAATCTGCTACTCCCTGTAATTACTAATTGTTGTCAAAGTGCAACAGGTGGTCCAGAAAAGTCCGGCAATAGCTGAGAGTCTGGAGCCGAGGATCTGAAGCACTCCATCTGAAAATGGGATAGAGTGTCACCAATATCATTAGAGGATCCTGTTAGCAGGTGAGCAGCAAGCACAATATTAAACCTTAAGCACTGCAGCTCAAAAGCGTGAGCGGAGGGGTGGAGACTCCGCTGGAGCATGTGGACTGTTCTGCCAAGATGCTCACCACTGCCTGGTTATCAGACCAAAAGCAGATCCGACGGTCACTGAACTCCTCGGTCCAGATGTGAACTGCTACTACAATGGGGAAAACTCAAGCAAAGTTAGGTCACATGATAGCCTCACCACACCAGGCTTGAGGCCATGGCTTTGCACACCAACAGCCCCTGAAATAAAAACCAAAGGCCAAAGATCCAGCAGCATCAGCATGAACCTGAAAATCGCTGTGCAGGTTCAAGGTATCCTGCCATGGTGAACTACTATTGCATCCATTTAGGAACTGCAACCATCGCATGAGATCCGCCTTGACCTCACTTGGTAAGCGTACACGAAGGTAAGGGGACCTCGGGCCACAGGCAGCCTGGCCAAGCGGGAACGGAAGGGGCGGCCTGGGGCAACCAATCTGCATGCAAAATTAATTTAACTGACCTAGCAAATGATAGAATTTGACAAAGCAACACTTGCTTCAGAAGAAGTATAACAAGATAACTTCCTTGAAGGCAAACAGCTTCCCCACAGGCAAGCAGATGTTTGAGCAACGGTATCCAGCTAACCCCCAAATATTAAGAGGGGGTCCCATCCACTGCCTATGAAACACCCAGCTCCTCAGAGGGAATAAAGGATGTCTAGCAAGCCTACACAGAGGCTGGTGTCACAAGAACCAGCCAGTAAAATAATCCAAAAAATGGTACCCCCAGTTAAATGAGTATAGACTCGCACTGTTCAATCCAGAAAGGCGCTAAAGGACTCGAGTGCTGCACAGTCTATTGCGCAACCCATCGGCATCACCTTATCAATATAAGGAGCACCATCCAAATTAAAGCCCAACCACTTAAAATCTCGCGGGTGAACCAGCAGCAGCCTAACAGCCGATTCAATATAGCATATTGCCAACAAGGCACCTCTTCCAATTTTGTGGTAAGCTCAACCGCCTGCTCCAAAGACATGAACTTCACAGAACAATTCCTTAAGGATAGCGTCATTCACTGAGGTGCCTCAGGGATGCGATAAATAAGGATCAGATGGAATTATATGGGGCTTTCTTAGGGGTCCCACCATACGTCCCAATGCAAGCTGCTACCTGACCTTCTTTCTGGCTACCTCAGGTGGCTCTCTAACTGACTTTTGATTTGCTGTATTCCGAGCCACTGGCTGAAAAGCCAGAGGAATCCTAAACCTTGAGAAAACCCTTCCCACAAGCACAAAGTCGCTGACCCCTCTAGATAACCTTTTAGCCAGGCTTTCAAGGGAGATAATTTTATGGGAATATGGGCCAGAGATAAGGAGCTATTGCTTGCCAGCTCCAAGCCCCGACTTGGGCAGGGGGCGTCTTGTGCTGCCACCTAAGATGTGTGAATTTACAGGGCTGACGCTGTCCAGAACCCCTAAACAACAAAGCTGCCGCCGGGCCAGCTTCCTGCACACTAGTTTCAGGTTCTACTGCTCAGGGAATTTCCATTTGAAATGTGGAGCTGCGCAAGTGGTCCACACGTCCCCGTCCCTGCGACCCCAGCAAGCTGTGGGGATGATGGCAGCCCTGCGACTAACATTCCCATCATAGTGAATTGCTACTTATAGAATCGTAGAGTTGGAAGGGACACCAACAATCTTCTAGTCCACTCCCTAATAATAATAATAAATAAAATATGCCCCGCCCATCTAACTGGGCTTCCCTTGGGTGGCTTCCAACAAAATATTAAAATACAGTAATGCATCAGACATTAAAAGCTTCCCTAAATAGGGCTGCCTTCCAATGTCTTCTAAAAGACTGGTAGTTGACATCTGGTGGGAGGGCTCTCCACAGGACAGGTGCCACCACCGAGAAGGCCCTCTGCCTGGCCCCCTGCAACCCGGCTTCTGTCCAGTTAGAACGATGGGGGAGCATGCAGCTGTCCCATACAGGGACCAATCCTGCAACCTAGGCATTACTGGCACCACGTGCTGACCTGCTGAGCTAACCAGGATGATTCTTAAAGACCCGGTACAGCCTCACCCTGACCCCATAGAGGTCCAAGGTGACGTCTGAATCGTCATAAGAGCCCAGAGATGAAGTACCTGTGAGGAAGTGTAAGCATCATCTCTGTTCTTCTTTGCCCTCCCCTCCTGGATCGCCGCCTCTGAAGACGCTTTCTTCCAAAAGGAGGCACCTGGGGCATCAGCAAATCATCCTCTGCAGGAGAGGCAAGCTCTGGAGGCATCTGCAAAGGCCCTGCCATAGTCTGCAAAAAACTAAATAATGTGAGGAACCGGTGAAACCAATGCTTCGTGCACCACATGGGGACACTATTCAGGCCGGAAATTGCTGCCAGAGGCCACCGAATTCTCGAGCAAAGCCCTAGGATCACCTGCTAGGCCAGACATAAATGTTTCCAATGAGATAACAGATGAGGCAGCCCACCGCCTGTCCAGGTACCCCTGCTTGCCCTTTTAGAGGGAAGCATCCCCTCAAGAAACCCAAATTTATTTTGATTTGTTTTGTTATAACAATGGCTAAGTGAGGGATATGAACCCTGTTTCCCAGGACCTAGTCCTGCACTCTAGCCACTAAGCCACAATGGCTCGTCTCGAAAACATTTTCTTTACAATTAAATTACACAGGCTGCAATGCTCAGAGCGGCCATTGTCAGCCTAAAATGATGCAATAAAAACAAGCGCTGCAGTACCTCAGAACGGCCACTAGAGGGCCTACGAGAGCAAACCAGGCCTCAAAAATGGCGCTCCCGCCAAAAAGAAGCAGGGAAGGTGGTGGTCACAACGGGACCTGCTCCCAGGCCCCAATTAGGCTGCTCCTGCCTCCCTGCAGCCCTGACAGACACCAGGCCAACAAGGCCGAAACTGGCCCTTAAATAATAGGGCGGGGGGGAGCTCACGGCAAGGCCTCATAAGGGCCTGGCAAGGCCGGAGGCACCCCCCGTCGCGGTGCGGCACCAGGCGCTGCCGAAAAAGGCCTAAAAAAGGGCCGCCCAAGGCCAGGCCGAGGCTGCTGCGCCCTCAGCCAGGCCCACCCTTCACCCGGGACTGGCAGAAAAGGGGCAGCCAGGGCAATGAATTAAAGAAAACCGGCCTTGGAGAGGCCTGTCACCAAATTAGAAGACCCAACGTTAAGGTAAGCTAAAGGGGGGAGGGGGGAATAGGGGGAATTAAAGACCAAGGGGGGTGGGAAAGTAGAGTAAAATTAAAAGAAAATTTTACACAGAAAAGGAAATTTAATAGGACTAAAATATCAATTAAATATAAGCTAACGCAATTAAAGCAGGCCAAAGACACAAGGTAATTTGTAGAAAAATACAGCCGTCTCCTTTCGCTGTGATCAATCCGATGCACGGTCGAAAAGAGGAAGCCCTAGCCTCGTGCAAGGAGTTTTAGCATTTCTGGCTGTCAATCAACAAATGGCAACATTAACTTCTTCCCAACAACAAGGGAAGCCCCAATCGCATCAGTGGCCAATGAACAATTAGCCCGCCCCCAACTTTGGAGTGTCCTGGCGGCCCCCACCGCAACACGTGCTCTCCATGAAGGAGAACACGCTTTACCCTGATATTACCACAGTATCAGAGGCACTATGCCACTACATGCCAGTTGCTGCAGATCATGGGAAGGAGGATGTTTTTGCACCTTCGTCTTATTCCTGGGCTTCACATAGACATCTGAGAACAGAATGTTGGACTAGATAGGGATTGGGCTTGATCCAGTAAGGCTTAATATGTGCTCTTAACTGAGGGCCACAGGCTACCTGGACTCACCATCTCTAAGGACTTTAGCACTCTACTTGAAGAACAGCCATTTCTGCAACAACAACAGAAAGGGGCAAGCTTTATGAATTGAAAACGTCAACAGAAATGCCCAGAAATAAAGTACAACCATCACACACACACACACACACACACACACACACACACAGTGCCTTTAAACCATGCTGACAAAGCCAGGGTCCAAGGCCAGATCATACCTCAATTTCACCAACAAGGTTCTTATCAGTATCAGGAAAGGTTTTAATAGCTGTTTTGTTTTTCTGGTGTTTTTTTGTGTGTGCTTTCAAGTAATTAACAAGGCAGCAGTGGCTTTGATTGAATAGTGTTTGGCTTTTAGAGGAAACCAGTGGATAGGGCAGCCTGCTGTGACAAAATAGAACTGAACTGACATTTATATCAGAACAATTTTATTTCCAGGTCTTTCAACTATTAAATTGTGCATTTATATATTATAGACCCAGAGTCGTGCCTCTGCACTTAAGGCATGAGATGGGTGTGTGTGTTTATGGATAGAGGTCATCTACAAACCATATGGATGGTAATAGATTGTTCATCCATGCCTGTAACAAAGATTTACAGAGCTTTCTGTAGAACTGTATCCTTATTTTTTCCTTGAACTTTGTGCTAAAACATTTAAGTCACACTGTATATGCCATTAAAGGAAAAGGCCTTGTGGACCCATAGCCAATCTAGCATTGCTCAGTTCAGCATACAAAGATATGCTTGATACCATATACCTAGGATGAAACTAAACCACAAGACTGCCTTCACTGTTTTAATACTTCAGGCCTCCATCAGTTAGACACCATCACAAACATGACACTTTTAAATGGACCCCTCTCCAACATTCACTTGCTAGTAATCAAGTATAGAGAAATCAAGGGATGTAACTTGAGTTAGTCAAGGAAGCATCCTTGAACAAAGTGGAACTTATTTCTGAGTAAACTTGCACAGAATTGCACTGTTATGCTTCTCCAGCAGCTCACAATCTGTTCAACAAGTTTAACTGGGTAGGAGAACCCACATCTGTGACAACTGGTCAAAGGGGCATGTTAAACTTGCACTGCACTGATCAATAAGCATCATTTATCACACTTCTCCTTACAATGTGCTATCTTTGGCTTTGTGGCTCATTGAGACTGTAACAGTTAATGGGGTGCCATGCAACTGCTCCTCAACACCACCTTATTTCTGCTCCACGTGTAAGCAGGCCTTTTTTCTTTTTTCTTTTTGGAAGATTTTTGCAAGATTCCAGTATTAACATATTGGAGTACTCCCAATCAGGTGACCAAAACTAGGCTACTAGGTCTACCTGATGCTACTAAGCAAACATATATAAAAAAAGGCAAAGGTAAAGGACCCCAACTCTGGGGTTGTGGCGCTCATTTTTCTTTACAGGCCGAGAGAGCCAGAGTTTGTCTGCAGACAGTTTTTCTGGGTCATGTGGCCAGCATGACTAAGCCGCTTCTGGTGAAAACAGAGCAGTGCATGGAAACGCCATTTACCTTCCCGCCGGAGCGGTACCTATTTATCTACTTGCACTTTGACATGCTTTTGAACTGCTAGGTTAGCAGGAGCTGGGACCGAGCAACGGGAGCTCACCCTGTCATGGGGATTCGAACCGCCGACCTTCTGATTGGCAAGCCCAAGAGGCTCAGTGGTTTATACCACAGCGCCACCCATGTGGCGTCAAAGCAAACATTGAAACATACAAAATAACTATCATTATATATATTGGAACATAATTCACATAGGTCTACATGAGAGATACATCTATAATTTAAAGTTTAGAATTCCTGATAAGTTTGTCAGCAACAACAGGGACACATTGGAAAGGTAATAAGTAGTGGCTGGTAGGACATATGGCCTTCTGCCTAGTCCCATTATATGCCTCTGGTAGTGGCAATAGGGAGGGGGCAAGTGGTTCCACACAGGGTACTGAAGGTGCTGAATCTGGCTGCTTTATTCCATTCAAATCTGCAGATAACATGTGTACAATAGTAGCTTTTATCCCAGCTAAATCAACTATTTCCAGGTACGATGGTTTGCATTGTGGATGCAACAATGTGTGCTTACTTCGGAGAGTGTAGTTGTCAATACAAACTAGGAACAAAGTAGAAAGCAACAAAGGAACATCAGAAATTTTAAAAAATTGATGTCAACAAATACCAAGAAAGTCTACATTATGAAGTGGTCAGTGAAAAAGTGCTGTAAGGAATGTATCAGTTCCTCTTGAGCTGTCCATCTCCATCGGATCAATAGCCCTTCCAAGCATGGGACGTTCAAGCTTTCAGCTTGAGAAATTGAAGTTCTCAAAATAAGTCAGGGTTGCAACACAAGTCCATCATGGCATGTCACAGAAATGAAATGAGTTGTCTCCTGTTCGATTGATGAGTGACATAAAACGAGGAGGGAAATAAACGAGACTTTCTTTCCCACCCACCCCCTTTAAGTTGCTAGAATGCTTCTGTCAGAAAGTTTACACTACGGGATCCATTCTTTGCTTTATGGTTCTGCATGAGTCCAGATACCAATAATACTGAAGGAGAAAAAGTGTCAGGGAGACGGGAGTGGGGGTGGCAGAAGCCTTAAGGAATCACTTACTCATGTTATAGAATACATATTAGAGAGAGAAAGTTACCAAATACATTGGGTGGCATTCAACTAAGTTTTACTCAGAGCAGACCTGTGGAAATTAATGGACCTAACTTAGGCCACATTCACCCCACACATTTAAAGCACTGTGATACTACTTTAAAGAATCATGGTTCCCTCCCAATAATTGTGGAATTTCAGTTTGTTAAGGGTGCTGACAGTTGTTAGGAGGTCCATAATTCCCTCACAAAGCTATAATTCCCTGTGTGAAGTAAGTAAGTAAGTAATTAAGTAAGTTGTTTTATTACAGTCAATGCCCAGTATCAGGATAAAATCACCAACTACGAAATTTAAAATCTCATAACAAACTAGAATAAATGAAATTACATATACATAAGAAACACAGTTCTACTTTGTCATTTATCCAGCAGAAGGGAACCCTTCTGATCTAGGGATGACCAGTGTGGTTTAACAGGCAATCCCTCTTTGCAGAGAATTTTGGGGAAATAGTTCTGTGGGGTGAACAGGGGCCTCCTACCAACTCCTGGCACCCTTAACACACTACAGCACCCAGAGTTCTGTGGGGGAAGCCATGACTGTTTAGAGTGGTACCCCTTTACATGTATGAAGTAAATGTGGTCTTAGTCATGTTCATTCATTTAAACGGATCTACACAAGAGTAAAACATAACTGAATACCTTCCCTTGTTAGTACAAGCTGTTTTGATTGCTTCTGTGCTGCGAGCCTCAAACTGCTCACCTCACAGCTAGAGTGATCTAAGGTGAGACTTTGTGGTTTAATTTGCAGATCCCTGCTCCCTTTTATTTTAATTTGCAACTCGGGTTTGGGAGAACAGCCATACATACACCTATGAAGCAGAGCATCTACTTTTTGTACAGAAGTTCCAGGTTCACTCTCCCATCCTGTGGTTTCCAGCAACTAGCATTCAGAGGCATTACTGCCTTTGACTATGGAGGCAGAGCATAGCCATAGCCACTGATAGCTATTAATTTGTCCAATCCTATTTAAAAGCGATCCAAATTGGTGGCCATCACTGCCTCCTGTTGTCTAAGTTGCCTACATAAATTGCTTGTCAGAGCTAAGAAAATACTGGCTTCAGTCAGTGCTTACCATACCATTACCAGTGAAGGCTTGCTCTCCATGTTCAGTCAGTAACACAACTCAACTCTTTATGGCAGGGGTAGTCAACCTTTTTATACCTACCGCCCACTAATGCATCTTTCTTGATGGTAAAATTTCCTTACCGCCCACCAGTGCTCGATGGAAGGAAGATTCAGCTTGTGCCGTAGTGGGCGGTAGGGACCAGGTGGGCCACTCCTGCTTTATGGAATTAGGTGGCATCTGGTAATGGAAATAGTTTGTTGGAAGGCACAAAACAAGCAAAAAGTTGAACAGGTAGCCCCCCCCCCCCATGTTCCTAGTCGGTCAATTAATTTGTCAGGGAAGGTTAAGGCAGATTGTGATCTGTGGCTTACATGATCAAAAGCCAGAATATTCAAAATCAAATCCTTTGCCACATGCTATGGGAGGAACAAATTATTTGCAGGATGTAATTCATAGTTTGTTCAACAGCATGAGGAAAAGATAAATATATAATTGCCACAGCTTTTCTTGTTAGATGTCTCGACTGCAGAATTATGCAGTAGATGTTCAGTGAATTTCTCTTTCCTATTAGTTAAAAGCACTCCTGCATAGTCTACAGCTAGACTAACAAAATCAATGTTAGATGCCATTGCTGAGTTGCTTGTTGATGCTGAAGAAAACAGCTTTGTTACCTCGTAGTATGTTTATGCCTCTATTATAGCGCTTTCAAAGTAATCAGACCTAAAATGTATTCTGCCCATGTATATGTACATAGTTTCCCTTACTAATTTGGAGAGAGGGAAGACAGTACAACATTATAGTTCCCTTATCCATTGCCTTCAGCAATAAATATGGATACAGAAACCATAATTAGCCTTTGACAATGTGTTTGAAAATGATGTAGCTATATTC